CCGGTGCAGGATTAGGCCTACCTCGAGCAATGGCGGCAGCGAAGGTTGGCCGAGGAGCTCCGCGAGGGCGAGTACCTCGAGCAGCTCGAGTGCGACGCGGAATGCAGGGGAGAAGGAGCGCCTTGCCCGTGGTGGGCCAGCCCAGCCGGCGGCGGTACAACCCGTGGCGGACGACATCGCTAGAGCGTGGTCGACGACGTTCCCTTGGGCTGGCCCGGCGCTGACGCTGATCGACCTCACCGACCCTGACGACGACGAGGACGCCTAGGGTAGCGCGACTCCTCATAGTTTTAAGTTTTATTTAATATTTTAGTTAATGTAAATGTGGACTCATGAACTCTAGTCGGCCTTTGTGACCAGCATTAATGTTTAATTAACAGTTTTTATTTTCAAAATGTTTGCGGTAATTTTTTTTGTGCATTCTAAAAAATGGGTCGGGCGAGCTTTGGGCGGAAGCGCTGACCCAAACACGAAAGCGGACATGGTTGTCTGCCGAGCCGATCCAAACGAATAACAAACAAAATTGCTGTCCATTTGAGTCGGCACATTGAAGTTGCTCCTACGGTCTCTGCAAAGAGCCAACAATCGCACGGAATCATCCCAAACATTTGATTTGAACCGATTTGCCCTAGTTAGTTTCTCCTGTGGAGTCCTGAACTAGGAGGAGGGAGACATGTGAGCCCCTCCATATGCATGCCATGCATGTGACCTTCAGCACGGGAAAAAGGCCTTTTCTCCCTTTTCAAATTCCTGCTTTCTAGGCCGCCTCCCCTAGGCTACGTACCATCATCCGCTCTCTCCCTCCACGCAGGCTTTACATGCAATGATATAAAGAAGACGTCTTGCTAAATAACGAAGTAACTGGAACCAATCATCCACAGCACACTTCGTTACTGTATCATCTGGCCTTCATGTCACATGGATTAGCCTCTGTTTCCTCATGCACTCTCTGTCGTTCCATCCATCTATCCGATTCCGGTCTAGTCTTTCTTTTGATATCACCTCATCTTTGCTTGCATGCACCACGCCGCTGTCGATCGCGTGGCCATTCATTGTTAACCAAGCCCTGTCTACCAAGAACTTCCCTCCTTTTCCATTCCCTGTCAACCCTATTAATTTTCATAGGTGATTAGTTTTCTAACTTTCCATCCCTTATGTTTTGCTTTCTACTTGTCCGTCTTGCTTTAAACCCATTGTTTTCCTCTGGATGATTGCTTGGGTTAGGGGATTGGGGCAGCGCTGCGACACAAAGCAGGGGCAAGAGGTCCAATCTGAGGTTTACTTTCATAATTTAGCCCCCCTCGATCGCTCTCCAATATGTCACTGCCTCTCTTGCACGCACGTGGGTTCTAAGTAGAGTAGATCGTAACCGAGTACGTACACGATTTTGGTTTTCAAATGCACGGTCCGGCCGATGCCCTCCTCCTCGGCAGACACTACGCCGATGCTCGTAATTGAATACTGCAAAAATCGATTTGCACTTTATTAGTTGCCTCCCTACTCGCAAGTACCGAGTTCTTTCTTTGGAAGCAAGCATTGAGATAAAACTAATGGCGTCCTCTTCTCTCTTTAATTGGCTTGGGTTGATGCATGCTCAAGGCAAGGAGACAGGATCATTTGTGGAAGGAGGAAGGCATCATAGGAAGACATATAACCCGTGTTTTATATACGGGGAGTTGAAGAGACTAGTGCCTGAGAAAGGAGATGGTTGATGCATGTGTAATCAATCATCAGTTACTAATTTACTGCCCGCAGTAGTATCGCCCAAGTAAGCAAGAGGTGAAGAGAACCATCACTCGCCAGTGTCAGAAGGATGATACATGTATTACACTTGTGTAGTTGCTTAATTAGGTTATCTTGTTGCAAAGTTCTTCACCACTTTGCACCCGGAGAAGAAGACGAGCTTAAACTAGTCGGTCTACTGACATTGACACGCAGCTTTTGGAGGGTTAGTTATCTCTGCTGTTTCCTAAGATGATCCTAAATACGAGTAGTAGAGGATTTTTTCTTCACTGCGTGCATAATCAGTCCCGTCGGAATGGGCACCCGGGATCAGTACTGTAGTATCTTGCACGCCCCCACGTACTACTTTTCACCCTGATCGAGGGTCAGGACTCAGGACTTTGGTGCGTGCAGCCTCGCACAGTCTCCACTGACACTGTTACTGGCCTGTAGTATTAGACTGGATTCTCCATCTTTTCTGCTAGTGGCAACAGTCCACCTAGCCATTGGCATCAGTAGGTGCTTCCTTCAGTCCTCTCCCTCAACACTGTCAGATCCCTGATTAACCTCGCTCACTACGAATGCATGCTGAGGCCCCAGTGATCCAAATCATCAAATACCAACATAAATCTCTGTACGATGCCACTTACCTGACAGCAACCATGATGCCTATCGCAGGCTAACCCCTAACCGGTCCCTGATCTGTGCACCAAAGCGACGCAAAACTTCCCGTCTTTCCACGCCCCGCTTTTTCCCCGTCCCTTTTCGCTTTCCCCTTGGCTATACCTATGCGAGCACTCTGACGAATCATTTCACTGGTCTTTAGGAGGATCATGTGGGCTGCAGCATACGGACTCGAGAGTGCACGGGAGTGGGGAGCCACTAACCATGATCCCGGGATTATTTTTCGTAGTACCAATCTCGCGCGTTTCTATATGGAGCTGTGGCAGCCTTTTCCCGCGGCACTCTTTTTGTTCCTCCAAACATATGCATTTTCCCTTTGGTTTTCTTTCTTTCTCCTCCCGCCACATTTGCCACCACCGGATCTGTAGCTGAGATCTCGCTTTTGGGCCAGTGGGTGCCTCCCTTTAAGTAGAGGCTGCAGCCAGGCTAGCTCTGCTTCCTGTAGGTTCTTTCCTCCGCTCCAGTCCTGGAATTTGGCAGCGAGCACTGAACCTTCATCACCCCATCAGCACAGCAAAGCAAGACTCTCAACCAAGGTATGTAATCGTAGTTCTCATTTTCCTGCAATGTGTTAGTACATGGTTCTGACTTCTGGGTGCTTTTCATCTTCGCTCAACTGATCCCTCATAGTGTAGAACCAGTTCAGTAGGAGTGCTGCTACTATAGTTGAACTTTACTGAGTTTTTTCAGTAGATTTACTTGCTTATGAGGGCCATGTTATCGATTTGCAGGGGCTGTTTTGGCTGTGAAGAAGGCCCAAGGAGGAGGCGCCATGAGCGAGTCTGGGCAGAGGTCGAGGCCGTGGCCACCGGGGGCGGCCGCGATGGCGCCGTCGGAGCCGGCTGCGGCTGCCGACGCGAGGGGCGAGGCGACGACGCTGAGGGACTTCGGCACGTCCATGGACGCCATCTCCTTCGGCTTCGCGGCCACGGCCATCCTCATCTCCATCTTCCTCCTCATGGCCATCTTCGAGCACCTCATCAGGCCCCAGGCGTTCCAGGCGCCAGCCGGCTCCCCGCGCGGCCGACGCCGGCGTGGCCACCGCTCGCCCGGCAAGCCCCGGAGCCCGCCCATGGTAAGACCGTCCTGATCTGGCTCCGTGGCCACTCAACGCTAGCCCCTTCAATTTTCACGCAATGCGTGCGCGGTACATAGCTGAATAGTTAAAATCTGCCATGTGTTCAGGTGCAGACGGTGCTGCAGGCGGCGGACCTGTCGGTGCTGATGCCGGGGCAGCGGTACCCGACGTACCTCGCGCAGCCGGCGCCATTGCCGCCGCCGTGCCCCAGGGAGGGGGTGCACTGGCCGCCGCACGACCACCGCCGCTCCCAAATGCCACCCTGACCGTCTCACGCGGTCGAAAATTTCGTTCAGTTTTTGTACAGCGGGAGATTGTAAAAGCAGGAGAATGTGAGCAAGAATCCTGGTTCGTTGTCGGTGCCGCTCCTTTTGTCCGTACGAATTTGCAGAGTCTTCTTGTTCAATTTCTGTCAAGTGTTTTTTTTTAGACAAGCAAATGCACGAGTGTACTTCGGAGCCACTCGCTCAACCCGCCGTGTCACCTTGAAGGCCGCTACCCCCCAATGGCCCATAGTCAGCCCACTGTGACTTTCGCCCCCTCCTTAAATGATGGCCCGAATGCCCATTTATGCCATTGCTTTCTTTTTTCGAAAGAGTGGGCATTCCATCTATCTGGATTTGTAAGGTGGTGTAGGTTTTTAGGTTCTTCAACTTGACGATACAAGGGCCCACTCAGAACTCCTTCGGTGCCACGCTCCACCAACTTCCCGCGCGGAATCGGGCCGAAACACCCCTCCTCTAGTATTCCCTCTGTCTTTAGTGATCAACACACTCTTATATTTCTTTACGGAGCGAATAAATAATAGCGAAGCGGCCGTAGCCCAACTTCCCGAAACGGCAGTCTGGAGTTCGTCAATATTTACGTTGAGAATGCCACCGCAAAGGTACATACCAGTCTGTATCAAGCACGAAGGTAAACATAACAACCCCCTATGATAGTCTACCCTAGCCACCACACGTCCTGCCCCGTCGCCCCTCCCCCGTCCGGCACCACCCTGCCGCCACCCTCTTTGCCCCTTCGTCGACATAGCGCCACCCATAGAGGATTGCCGTCGCCAATGCCTGACCTTTGAGCTCAAATCGATCGCCTTGAAGCTCCTTGTTCATCATTGCCCCTCCCTCAAGCCCTCGAGTACCAAAATATTGCAGAGCCAGTTGTTGAGTCTGTTCAGCCAAAATCGGTATTTTTATGGTGCCGAACGGTATACCGAGTCACTGGATATGGTGAGTGTGCCGCGGTTATCGTTGAGTCTCGAATTATGCAGAACATGTCGTGTCCACTAGAGAAAGTTCTATCTGTATTTTCTGATGCAAAACTACCAGGATAGTGAGTCCGTTGAACTTGATCTTTAGCCGCGCGCCACAGGGGAGCGAGTGCACGCTCGTTCACTGTTAGAGCGCCTGAATTCATGCCAGATAAGAGGGTGATATAGTAGTTTGGGTTGGTGACACGTCATGTCAAGGCGACAAAGAATCCATATGCACTGGATTGTAGCGCAGCAATTCCCGTGGATACGAACTGGCGTCACGATGGCCCTGTTTGGATACTCTAACACAGTTAGAGTTAGAGTTATTTTCTAACCCACTCTAACCCAAGTAAGCACCTCTCCATCGGGATAGTTGGGTTAGATAGAACTAACCCACTCTAACCCTTTCTGTTTGGATACTTTTGGGTTATTTGAGCCTCCAACTAACCCAAACTAGCTCTAACCCCATGATCCAAACAGGGCCGATACCGCGTGGCCGGAGCCCTGACGTGGCGGTCAAATTGGACGCTCCCGCGGGGCCCCAAACCCAACCCAACACACCACTGCGACAAGGCCGGCGCGGCTGATCTCACACTCACAGCACTACGCCCTCCGCTCTCATTCTCCACTGCCGCTGCTGACGAGTGACGAGCACCGCGCACGCGCCGCATCCACTCCACCGCGCGCGCGAGTACAAATCCCGGACCCGAGAACCTCCTCGCCACCAGCCCCACGCCCGCAGATCAGTACACTACACTGGTAGCGGCAGCGGTAACTGAAGCGGGAGGATGAACGGCTACCGCAACCTGGCCTCGTCCCCTCCGGCGCCCAGCGGCGGGGAGCCGGAGCCGGAGCCGGCCCCGCCCCCGGCCGCGGCGAAGGAGGGCAAGTGGGAGGGCGCGGCGGTCGGCGCGGCGGCCATGGCCAGGAACCTCTCGTCCGCCTCCCAGAGGTTCGCGGCCGTGGAGCGGAGCAAGTCCACCGGCGGCCACCGCGGCGGCGGCGGCTTCCAGGCGGCCGTGAGGCGGGCCTTCTCCATGCGGAGGCAGCCGGCGTCCGGCCTCTCGGAGGGGTACTGGCGGATCCACGACGGCCTGGACGACGCCGAGGACGAGGCAGAGGCGCCCGAGGAGGTCGACGCGCAGAAGAAGACTCAGGTGGCGGAGGCCGCGGTGCCGGGAGACGCCGCGGCGAGCAACGACGAGATCGGCCAGGAGGAGACGAAGAAGAAGAAGAAGAAGAGGGGCCACATCTTCAAGGCGTGCAAGAAGCTTCTTGGGTTCAAACATGTCTAGTCTAGTCTAGTCAACAGGAAGCTTCTTGGATTCAAGATCCATGGACGCTCTTGATGCGCCTCCGTTTTGGATCTTGTTCTTGTCTCGTTCGTCGTCGTTTGGAGTAAATAAAGAGCTTGGGTTCGTTGACTTGAACATGGGATTGCCGTGCTGTATTTCTGCGTCACGTGAGTGAGCTCGGCCATTGAATGTGGCCCTGACAATGGGACTTTGGGGGCATGTACGCGGTTCGGCGGATGATGCGTGGCAACGCAGTCAAAGGGGCGGGCACCTTGTCCGGCCGCAAAGCCGTGCGCCAGATATTTGTGGCCATGGATCGGGTGCGCACTTTGTGAGGTCTTCGTCCTACTAAATGAAATTAGGCCAATACCACCGCACAACTTCAAACGAATGTCTGTTTTAGCCAAATTTTATCCCTTTAAGACGGTAATGGGTTCGTCCATATCCGTTTCTGTCCGTTGGATCGTGGGTGTGTCCAGCGCGCGGCCGCACCCCAAATCATGTTCGTGTTGGACGTGATAAAAAAACAGAAAAACTAAAATAAAATGACTTAAAAAGTAAATAAACGCAGTTAAAAAAACGTACAACATGAGTTAGGGGTCACGGTCACAAAACGACAAGTTTCACGGTTCACTTAATGGCCCAGTGCCATAATTAACATAAAAACAAAATAAAAAACATCGCCCACGCGCTCCTGCCGTGCCCGTCGATGCCGTCGTCGTCGCCGTCTTCAGTGGCCGTCGGTGTCGTCATCGTTGCTGACGAGGTCGACGTACTCCGGCGGCGTCCTTGGTGCGCCGGGGCGGGCTGGAAGGTGGCAGTTGCCTGCACCACCTCCTCCTGTGGCGACGCGTCCCCCTCCGGTGACCGCGGCGGCGTGCACCAGTTCACGCCCCCCACGGCCTGCGCCCAGCAGGCCCGGGTGAAACGCGGCCACTAACGCACCCTCCATTACCTCCTCCGCCGCCAGCATCTCCAGCTCGGGGATAGCGACGTCGCCGGCCACGGAGAGGGCCATCATCTCCTCGAGGCCCTCCCATTGGCACTCATCGTGCGTGCGCATGGAGTCCTCCATGACACGCGCCATGAGACGGGCCTCCTCCTCCGCTGTCATGCGAGGGGGTGGTGGTGGTGACAGAGATGGCGAAGGCGACGGTGTGGGTGTGAGGCCGCGCACCCGCGTACGCCCGTGCACCTGGGGAGTAGTCGCTCGGCGCTCTGGACGTGGCCGCCGCGGCCCCGTCGACGTGCCGGTGAAGAAGGACGCCCGCCGCGTGTCGTGCTCGTCCTGGAACCATGTGTCCCACAGGCCCAAGTCAGCGGCGCACATGGGGTCATAGTAGAGGTCGTCCGGGAGAAGGTGGCGGCGGCGCTCGATCTCCAGGCGGCGCGCAGGGCCGTCACCGGGACCGGCGGGATCGGCATGCGGTCGGTGGACAAATGCCAGTTGTTGGGGAGGTGGACGTCGCTCCAGGGGAGCGGCGTCCTCGTCTCCCAGTAGCGGCGACATACATCCGCGTGGATGTAGTGCCAGTCACGCTCGCCGGCGACCGTGGGGCGATGAAGAACGCGGGCGGCGCAGGGGTCCGACGCGGTGGTGATGCGGGCTCCTCCTCCTTCACGGACCGCGGCGGCGTCCCGACGAGGAGCCAGCCTTGCGGTCGTGCTTCCCCTTATGGCCGTAGTTTCATATCCCCATGGCTGCGAGTTCGAGGCTAGGGTTTGGGTTGTCGGGTTTCGAGGAGGCCGCGGGGTGGAGTGAGGGAGTGTGGACGACGACCGGTCCACGGCTTCCCCATTTAAGAAGGACCGTGACCGTTCGCCTGGGCGGATGACAGGCGGGGCCGGCCGTGCATGCGCATTGATGTTGGAGGATGGGAGGTAGGTGGCCGCCCACCACGCGGCCTCGACGCGGACGAGCGACGCGTCCGTTTACTATCGGCCGCGACCAAAACCCGAAGCATATTTGCCCTCGAAATGGATCGGTTCGAACACAAAACGGATCAAATGGGTTTGGGCTGTCGCGCTGGGCCTACTTGTTTGTCCCTTTTACCCCAAACGAACGGGACCGAACAAGATGGGGTCGTGCGGTGAAGTTAACCTTAGACTCGGAGGTCAAAAGGTTTTTTCAAGCAGTAGTTTCGATGTGAGAGCATCTACAATAGGACTTGCCACACCCACGAAACAGATCGGACATGTTCACGGGGATCGGCCGATCACACCTTGTACTTGATGCTAAGCATCGAGTATCTCATATTCCATGCCCTAAATTCATACAAACCATGTAAAAATGTTTTTACGTATTATGTACATCACATTAGCCTAAACTAAGATTTCTCGTCGAAGATGTTCACAACGTCCGTATCGGGTGCCGGGTAGTTGGGCGCGTCGGAGGGATCTGACTCCTCTTCACCCATTTATGCGAGTATCTCGTCGACGCTCATAGCGTGCTCCCCCTCCGCATTCTGCAGACGATGGCGTTTGGCCTCCGCTGCCGATTCGATCAAAGATAATCGAGCATCGCCTGCTGCTCCACCTGCAAATCTGCGGCCCCGACGTCCCCCACATCATCCTCCTCCTCCTCTCCACCACCTCCTCCTCCACCTCCAAGTCCTCCTTCTGATCCACCACATCCAAAGGTAGCCCCACGGTGATCCGGGTTTTGCGCCTTGCCCGGATCTACTCAAGAAGCTGCAGTCGGCGCTCCGACATTAGGTATGGGTACACTACCGTAGGACTGCCTACTAGTGGCGGACGACGAAAGCCCAGCAGTAGCAGGTAAGGCTCCCAGGGGCGCCCACCACTGCTAACATGGTTTCCCTGGCGGGGGCGCCGCCGGGTGAGAGGGGGAGAGAGCCCCCTCCTTCTTCTTCCTTGACCTCCCCCCTAGATGGGTGCTACTTGTGAGCTGCGTTGAGATTTTTCCCGAAGAGGAAGGGTGAAGCAATATAGTGGCAGATAAGTATTTCCCTGGTGATAACCAAGGTTATCAAACCAATAGGAGAACCACGGAAATCTTAGTTAATAGCACCTACAGACACAAAGCAAATACTTGCACCCAACACGGGCAAGAGGGTTGTCAATCCCCTTGAACTCATTACTTGCAAGGATTAAATATAGTAGTGGTAGATAGATAAAAAGAAAAGTAAATAATTTACAACAAGGTATTTTTGGTTTTATTAATATGATTAAAGTAGACCCAGGGGCCATAGTTTTCACTAAAGGATTCTATCTTGAAACAATATCATAAAGTGGCCGAACAAATTAGTGTTGGACAATTGATAGAAAAACGCATAGTTATGATGATATTCATGGCAATGATCACACATATAGGCATCACGTCCGTGACAAGTAGACCGACTCCTTCCCGCATCTACACTATTACTCCACCAATCGACCACTATCCAGCATGCATCTATGGTATTAAATTCATGACAAACAGAGTAACACTTTAAGCAAGATGACATGGTGTAGACAAAGTAAACTCAAGCAATATGAATAAAACCCATTGTTTTACCCTTAATGACAACAATACAAATACGTGCCTCACTACCCCTTTTGTCACGAGGCGAGGACACCGCAAGATTGAACCCATCACAAAGCACCTCTCCCACTGAAGATAAATCAATCTAGTTAGCCAAACCAAACGGATAGATCAGAGATAAATACAAAGCTATCATAATGATCATAATAAAGTTCAGAAAAGACTCAATTACTTTCAATGAATAATCTGATCATAAACTCATAATTTATCGGATTTCAACAAACACACCGCAAACGGAGATTACATCGGATAGAACTCCAAGAAGATAGAAGAGAACATTGCATTGAAAATCAAAGAGAGGGGGAAGCCATCTAGCTACTAGCTATGGACTCGTAAGTCTCTGGTGAACTACTAACGCATCATCGGAATGCAACAAAGATGATGTAGAAGTCCTCCATGATCGATTCCCTCTCCGCCAGAGTACCGGAAAAGGCCTCCAAACGGGATCCGGAAGAAGAGAAGTTTGCGGCGGCGAAAAAAGTATTTTGGGTGGCTCTCTAAGGGTTTCTTAATATTTGAGAATTTATAGAAGTGGAATTAGGTCAGACGAAGCCACGTGGGGCCCACAAGGTAACAGGGCGCGCCTTGCGCCTACCCCTAGGGCTCACGCTGTTGCCTTGCCGTCTCCTTGTTTGTGTTCTGGGCTCCTCCCGAAGCTTCTAGGGTCTCTTTTGTCCATAAAAAATCGTCAAAATTTTTCATAGTGTTTGGACCCCGTTTGGTACTGATTTTCTCGAAAACCAAAAACAAGCAGAAAACATCAACTGACACTAGGCACTGGGTTAATAGGTTAGTTCCCAAAAATAATATAAAGTTGCATATAAATCATATAAAGTATTGAAGATTGATAATATAACAGCATGAACCAATAAAAAAAATTAGATACGTTGGAGATGTATGAACATCACCAAACTTAATTCCTGCTCGTCTTTGAGTAGGTAAATGACAAAAACATAATTTTTGATGTTGAATGCTACCTAGTGATACGTCTCGAATGTATCTATAATTTATGAAGTATTCATGCTATTATATTATCTGTTTTGGATGTTTATGGGCTTTACTAAACACTTTTATATTATTTTTGGAACTAAACTATTAATCGGAGGCCCAACCCAAATTGTTGTTTTCTTGCCTATTTCAGTGTTTCGAAGAAAAGGAATATCAAATAGAGTCCAAACGGAATGAAACCTTCGGGAGAGTTATTTTTGGAGTGGAAGCAATCCAGGAGACTTGGAGTAGACGTCAGGGAAGCTTCGAGGAAGCCACGAGGCAGGGAGGCGTGCCCTACCCCCTAGGCGCGCCCCCACCCTTGTGGGCCCCACGTGGCTCCCCTGACCGACTTCTTTCACCTATATATGTCCATATATCCTAAAAACATCGGGGAACAGAATAGATCGGGAGTTCCGCCGCCAGAAGCCTCTGTAGCCACCGAAAACCAATCTAGACCCGTTCCGGC